TCTTCTCCTTCGATGACAATCGTCAAAAATTGTTTTAAGTTTTAACGTGGTAGTATGTCGGTTTTTGATGAGCTAAGCCTTTGAGCCTCGAAACTGGCTACCACGAGGAATAACCTGACACAAATCCACGATCTCTAATGGCAAACCACTGACTGAAGGTGCACGAGATCGCTGAGATAGCATGCATCTCAAAAGACCTCTTATGTCATATCCTTAATGAAATTTTATGCATGAGAAAGTAATCGTCGTGATAAGTGCCCGTTTACTCACTCCGGATAACAAGCGCTACTGTGAGACCACTTCAAAGCAGTGTTTGACACTAAGCGTAATTAAAAGGAGTTTCTTCGTCGTTTCGTAACTCTCGGCCAAACATGAATCCACTGGTACATACTGTAATGTATTTCTCTTTAGGACTGTTGGACATGACATAAAGCTACTTACGACTTATGATAGGTTTTATTTATTTATTAAGCCTTATAAGGATATATAAATTAACATTATTTAGACGACTTTCTGTAGAAAGGAACCAACCCACAAATAGCTCAAGCTGAGAAAATTGAAGTTAAAGTTTCTGCGACAAAAAAAATTGTAGCTCATTTAAATTTATTTGACGAAAGTTCCTAAGTGAGTTAATACATTAGAATTTATGTTTCTTTAAAATGTTATTGTTAAAATAATAGTACAGCTATGCATATATGTATAAAAGTGGGTTGGTTCCTTTCTGTACTTATTTTAAAAAATTAACTCTTTAGAAAAGTTTTATTGAAATTATTACATTTAATACAACAATACTAGTACATAAAAATATAATTGTAATGCAAAGCTAAAATACAAAAATATATTCCCAAAACGGCTAATGTGTCATGGTTTCATCTTCAAGGTCATCAAGTTCATCAGGACGGCCACTAAATCCCTCAATATCATCAATAATTTCAGAGTCCCCAGTTAAACGTTTGTAATATTCTTGAGCATCACCTGGTATTAAATGCATGACAGATTTTATGTCTTCTAATTTTGGAAGAGAAATAGGCTTCCCGTTAGGCCACATTTTTGTAAGTAAATGGCTGAAATTATTGGTTACTGCTGGCCTTCCATGTTTCTTACCGATGTAAACTTCAGAATACTTTTCATCTGCAAAGCTTGTTTTCATGAAAATATAAAATGGTTTTGATTTATCTAGCATTATCTCCCTTGTTTTTAACCAATTAACTTTTTGTTTGTTTATGTCAACTTTTCTGTTACAGATTTGTTTTTCTGTTTCTATTGTACCAAAAAAATCAGAAGAAGTCATTCTAATGACATCAAATTTGTTTCTATTTCTGCAATTTTTCATTACAGTTATGTAATCTTCGGGCAGGTATAACCTTTGTTGATGTTTGAGTGCAGACTCTATGTCTGAAAAATTGGCATCGTTTGGTAAGAAACTATGCCCTGATATTAGGAACCGGATATAGATCTTATTAAGTGACGCATGAGTTTCAAGTGCAGCTTTCATCATTAGATTTAATTTTATATTTCTATTTTGGCCGCCACACGAATCAGACCATAAAATTAGTTCATCTACGGCGTTAGATACATAATTTTTTATATATTTTAAAAGACATGATCCTACCTCTTGGGAACCACGACCACGACCACCAGCTTCATTTTCCATCCATACATTGAACGATCCCTTTTTGCTCTTTCCAGAGTAAATACCTAAGTTGTACAGCCAAATTTTTTTTTTATAAAATAAAATTCCAGTTGGTAGGCGTGGAAGGGGCAAAGTCTTTTTCAAATCAAATGTTAAACATTCTACTTTTTTATTGTTAGTAGAAGTATCTAAATCTTGTTTTATTTTTGCTCTGGCTTCTTGCCAATTTTTGATATGAGTATCATGTTCATTTACTAACATTACTTTTACTTCATTATCTTGAGTGCTATCTATTTTTGCCTGATAAGAATCGCAGGTGTTACGGGTGTCTTTTTTGAGACTCTTAAATTTTAAATTAAACTCGGTCATGAAGATACGTCTGTACACGACAAAGCTAACAGGATTATTAGTATCTTCTTTGTATTTTGGAATCCTGTCAATTTGATTAATTATTTCTTGTTTTCGTTCTTGTGAAATTTTATTTTTTTCACCCTGTTTTTGTCTGTTTTTGTCTGTCAATGTAGAGGATCTAAGTTTTTTCATTGCAGTATCAACACGCTTAGTAGAAATTCCCAAAGTATTAATAAATAAGTTGCGACATACCTATATTTTATTTAACATGTATTTCCTTGAATATGTACGATTGGAATTTGTCTCACCGTAACTTCGTTAACATTTTGTAAATTTCTCTGAAGCTTATTTTCTTCTCTTGTTAAACCCAGATATTTTCGTTTTGGTCCCTTCTTTGGCCTACCTGTATTGACTGGAGTAGAGTGTATTACCTGTTCTAGCATTTCTTCTTTGATTTTCAAAGCTACATCACCTTTCTGATAATGTTCTTCATTATGTCTTATATTAGTTTGATATTCATCCTCTAATCTGAATTCTGGATCTACGTCGGAATCATAGCCATCATACTCATTATCTTAATCATTGTTTGAAGATTCCATCTAATTTAAAAAGAAAAAAAGTAAATTAAATGCTAACATAAATAGTCGTGGCAAAACTAACCTCATTTTCTGCTTTTGAAATATTTAAAGCCAAATTTAGTATATGTAGTCCTCTGGAAGATCTTTAACTCATTGTTTAAGAAATGTGTTACCACCCAATAGTTATTAAAAACTAATAATTTGCAATATTTTCACTACTTTATTATACGTATTATACCCTATTATACTTTATTATACACAAATATGCAGTCTTAGCATTACCGCGTGACAAACAAAAGTATTAAGTCATTGAAGAAAGGAACCAAGTGTTTTATACTACCTAATTCCCAAATTTTGCAGAATAGAACCAACCCACTTGGATCTTTTCTGCACATTACTTCATTGGGGACTGAAGTAATGTATGTTGGTTCACTACCAGATAGATGGCAGCATACACTTGCTGTGGCCTGGTTCCATTCTGCATATAATTTTTAACGACTATTCAAAGCGGTACTATGAATACAGCAAAAAAATGTATTTTGTGGGTTGGTTCCTTTCTGCCAAAAGTCGTCCATTTCAGTTCACATGTAGTCCATAACCTAAGTCTATTGTCATGTTTGGTTGTCATGTCACCGCTGTCATTTGTGGACCAAGTGCAACGTTGCCAAGCATATATGTAGGTACATGAAAACCATACATAATACGTCCTCTTTAATAAAAACAAAATAAACAAAAAAATAATTCACATAATATATCATAAGTACATAAATAACAATAATTCACAAATATATCAATAGGTAAATCTATCAGGAGGGCGAATGACTCTACCACTTCTGGAGGTTTTCAAACCAGGTGAAGTATTGTATGATGTAGAAGGTTAGAAGGAATAATTCGAGTTCTGTATGATAAACATAATACATAACCACATCTCAACCTTCAAATTTTGTTAATTTCACACATTAGTTGAACGAACACCTTAAGATCCTCATATCCATTTTGAATAATATCCAATCACATAACTTATTCTTCTGCAAAGATGACATTGCAAAAACCTTTTAGTTTCACTTAATATCAACAAAGCCAACCATACCATCATCACACTTTGAGACAACTTATACCTTCAACAAACCTAACTTATAACTTATTCTTTTTATTTCTCTTGTGCCTAGTGTTGCCTTATGACAGATAGGACCTTTCTTAAGTTATAAGCATATTATCACACTTGCAACATACTACATAATCATGTTCCAACCATCAAAATAAAATCTTTCGTTCATTACATATAATAGTTAATACAATAAAACTTCCACACCTTTTAGTCTGTTACTACCTTGTCAGACATTTATGTTTATGAACTTATTACTCAAAATAAATTTTCACATTTGCTAGGTACCAAATGTTGCTTCTGACATACAGGACCTCTATATTTGAGTTGAAAGTTAAATAACATGTTAACATTCACTAAAACAGTTTTATTTTATTCAAACAAGAACACCTCCCATTATAAATAAATATACTTAGATCCAACCATTAACATCAATATTTTCTATAATTCAACCTTCCACATGTGTCTAGTTTATATTTTCTGGGTACCAAATGTTTAAGTAACATAAAGGGCCATATAATTAAAAAAATTTTTCTGTATTTCATTACTACATACATGCATAGTTGGTTGCCTAACTACAACCATAAAAATTTTGCCCCCTTATATCATCTCAATTTCATAAATTAAAAACTACAACTTTGATGGTTGATACTGTTATATTAATGTACTTAATTTTCACAATTTTAAATAACGTTGGCTTTTGTCTTAAGTAGAAACATACAGCTACATTGACTGCTCTGTGATTATTTCCGTCATAACTTAACAATATTGTCATCAAATGTCATTGCCAATCAGTTGCACTCATATAGTCCTCGAAGACATACCGTCTCAGGACTAGCAACTTCAACGTGGAGTCATATGTCGCCATGTTACCAAATCCATCGGTAACTCTGTAATCTTATATCATTTCAACATTAATTTAAAACTAAATGTAATCAAACAAATGTAATCGGGTTTTTACCCACATATTTAATCTTGGTGGCTTCATTCATGTACTCCTAGTAAGTATTAACCACATTGTTCTTTAACCTTAGTCAAAATTTTAACCTATGTTCTTTTTAATTAAGTGGTTAACTATTTTCTAGGACACTGATGATGGAACATGGTTTCCGAAAACGTTTTGTCTTTTTAACTTAGCCCGTTTGGGCCTAAAATATACCTTTTACAAAGGATTTTTAATTAAATTTTTAATACATGGTATACAGCCAACTACAGGAACGTAGATTCCTTGTGAAACCTAAAAGAGGTCTGTGGTCTGTCTCTATTTAAAAATCTATGTCATAAAGATAGAATGAAAATCTTTCACATCCATACACTATACCAAGATACATACTTTGAACCATACCGTGACTGTCCTGTAGATACAGGTCTGTTGTCTTCCTTTCTTTTCTTCACAAAACTACTAATACTTTCACTTTCTTTGGATATTTCACGTTGAGTAACAGCACTATTTTCCATAGCCCTACAGATGTCTATAGCTTGTGCTAGTTTTAAATCAGAACATTGTAATAATTTTTCTTGAATTTGTAGATCATGTGTACCCAAAACAATCCTGTCCAAAATTAAAGTATCCTTTTTTGTAAACTCACATGTTGATGCTAATTGTTTCAAGGCAGTTACAAACTGATCGATACTTTCATTTTGTAATTTATCTCTTTTAAAGAATTTAAAATGTTCAAAAAATAAATTCTTAAGAGGGCTGCAGTATGTATCAAACTTACACAAAACAACATTGTACTTCTGATCATCTCCAACATTTTCATACTCGAAGGTATTGAATATCTTTAGCCCTTCATCTCCCAGCTGATTTACGAGAATACCGATTTTTATGTGGTCTGGTTTTTCACTCTTGCCGAAGGCTGTTAAAAATAACTGGAACTTTTGCTTCCAAAATTTCCACTCGTGTGAAATATTATTTCCTTGGAAACTAAACGGTTCTAAGCCTTTACAAGTATCTGTCATCTTGATTCGAGCACAATATAGCTCCTTTAATTACATATATTTTTTATAGGTTCTTTCACATGTACCGGCTTTTAACACAACTTAACCTATAGTCACTTTTCCGCTGCCACCATGTAATGTATTCCTCTTTAGGACTGTTGGACATAACATAAAGCTACTTACGACTTACGATAGGTTTTATTTACTTATTAAGCTTTATAAGGATCTATATATTAACATTATTTCAGTTCACATGTAGTCCATAACCTAAGTCTATTGTCATGTTTGGTTGTCATGTCACCGCTGTCACTTATGGGCCAAGTGCAACGTTGCCAAGTATATATGTACATGAAAACCATACCTAACACATACCAAATACCAAAGAACAGTCAAAACAATGAACATCACCCAGCGAACGTGCTCGAAAGAAGGCGAAGACAGTTTATCGACCGGAAAGGTGATGGCCATCATTTTTTTAAATTCACAAGGGGTAATCTAAATCGACTACCTGAAGAAGAGCAAAACGGTCACAAAGTTCTACTACCATGACAACGCACCAGCTCATACCATCGCCGTAGCCATGGCGACATTGGTCTGTTACCCTATCCACCGTATTTTACTGATTTGGTCCCGTGTGATTTCTTTCAAACTTGAAAAAGTCACTCGCCGAGCAGAAATACAAGTAAAATAAGGAGGCATTGTCACCACGGAAGCGTACTTTGCAGACCCCGAGAAAACATATTTTTCAGACATCAAGACTACAAGAAGTTGGAGCATCGCGCTGGCTCAAGTGTATCGCGCTAACGGAGGACTAAGTATTTTCTAAAGTATTTTTAGTAGTTAGACCTCTAGAATCACCTGATTCATTGTAAACGTACTATAATTTAGGTAGGTACTAAATAAATATTTGATGTAAATTCTAATCAGAAAAATTTTCATCAATATATTTAAGCTAAATTTAGATTTGTTTTAACATATTTTTCCAAACGTGTGTAAGCCAGTTTTTTTTTTTGAAAAACTGTTCCCTGTCAACTTTTAGACTTTTGAGTTTACTCTTTGAATGGTAATGGATGAAGCTCGTTACGCTTACTTATATTCCACATGGTACTTTAAATCACAGTAAGAATTTGCGTTCTAGAAACACGTTAAATCGATATTGAGTTTTATTTATTATACTAATTATAATTTTTTATAATTTGCCTAGCATTCCTTTCATTGCTATCAATGTACTGTACTAACTATGCTACAACTACTTCAAACGAATGTATGTCAATCCGTTCTCTGGGAATTCGCTTTAATTGCATAAGACTCGACTTAATATTTAGCCATACAAGTCATTTATCCTAATTAGGAGATGTCATTGTCTTAACGGTACAAAAATTATTTACTTATTGATAATGGGATAATAGGACGGATATTTGTTCCTCTAAAAGATACTTTATATTATTATCTCACGTGCTGGTTATTTAAACATGTAGTTTCAGAATTTTACAAACGGAAAGAACGACATATTTATATTATCGACTAAAGGCGTTATAACTATCTATATAGGTACATATTTAAAGATAGAAAGTATCGGTATAGCTCGCAACGAGGAAAAAAAAATAAAATATGTATATTAGACGGAAAGCAACCTTAAATACGTATTTCTGACTATTTGATCGTCATCATCATCATCATCATTCAGCCTCAAGAGTCCACTACTGAACATAGGCCTCTTCCTCATGTTTCCAATCCCATCTATCTTGCGCCGCTCTTATCCAGTTTTTATCGAGTCTTCTTAAATCGTCAGTCCATGTTGTAGGTGGTCGACCGACGCTTCTCTTGACTTCCCTTGGTCTCCATTCCAATAACCTCTTTGTCCATCGCCCATTTGTCATTCTGGCTATGTGTCCTGCCCATCTCCATTTTAGTCTGGCTATCTTCTCGATGATGTCAGTCACTCCGGTTCTTTTCCTGATGTCTTCGTTGGTTATTCTGTCTCGCAGAGTTATTCCTAATATGGACCGCTATATTCTTCTCTACGTGACTCTCAGTTTGGTAGCTGCTGCTTTTGTTAAGGTAAGTGTTTTTGCTCCGTACGTCAAGACTGGGAGGATGCACTGATCAAATACCTTTTTTTAAGCATGTGGGCAGCTCACTTTTAAAAGTTTCTCTCAGTTTTCCAAATGATGCCCACCCAAGGCCGATTCTTCTCTTCAGTTTATGAGTCTGGTTATCCCTGCCAATCCTAATTTTATGTTCCAGGTATTTATATCTATCTACGAGTTCTATTTCTTTCCCACCAATACTGATGTTCTAGTTGGGTACCAAATTGGTCATGATTTTTATTTTCGAGATATTTATATTTAAACCTACATTTTCTGTAGCCACAACGAGTTCCTGTTCCATCTCTCTTGCCATACCTAGATCTTCAGCTATTATAAGTATATCATCGGAAAAACGTAAGTTGTTTAGATATTCTCCATCTATTTTTATTCCCTTTGTCATCCAATCCAAATTCTTAAAGTCATGTTCTAGCATCGTATTAAAAAGTTTAGGTCATCATCGTCATCAGTACAGTGCAGCAAAGTTAGAATAAGAGAATATTAACGCATTAACTTTTTCTTGTTGTTTGAAACGTTCTAAACGTTTGGCATTTTTTCCTCAGGTAGCTGTAGCTTACTCCATGGATGTGTTAGTTATGGCTCTGGAAACCTCAGTGCCTTCTAACATGATTGCCACAAATTGACCGCATTGCTCCTGTAGTGATCCGTTTCCAAGTTAGCATTTGTTTGTGTTTGTTTTTGTACTATTTTTCAATGTTTTACATGTTTGTTTGTAATTTTTTAAAATGATTACCAGCTTTAAATATGGCATTGTCTTTGCACTGTAAGTATGATCATATTAAAAGACTGTGATTTCTCATGAAACTAAAATGTAGTATTCCCTGATGATGTTGGTGACCACCAACGAAATATTGGAATTAAAAATAAAGAGTATATAGTCTATATTCTTTTAGCTGTTTTCCCAAAAAAAGTATTGGATCACGTCGAATGTTCCGATCACGTCTAATCTGAATTCACAGAAACTGTTAAGACTTATAGTGCCTATCTTGTGCACATGCTTTAAATTACAACATCTCTGGCATAAATAGATGGCTACTTTTTTATAACAGATTAGAGTCTTGCATTTAAGTCGGTAATAAGATAACATTTGGTCACAGTGATCAAACCCTGCCATAAATTTGTTGTATTTAATTATGAGTTTTGCCTTTAATACCTCTTGGCCACGTTGTGTAGTAACTTTTTTCATATCTTTATTAAATTTACTGGCAATTGCTAAAATTTCTTAACCATCCTTTCATTTGATTATAGAAACTCACTCCGTAGTGAACTGCATATCCAGTTCATCTTTTATAACTTTTTAAACAAAACGTCGCAAAAATCATGTTTCTGTGACAAATATTCTATTATGCAACAAATTCTTGGTTTATTTTAAACTATTGTAAAAGTTGTCCCTAAGTATGGAATGCCCAACTCCTAATTTTTGTCACAGAAGATATTTTACCACTTTTTCCTTGTAGAGTGCCACATAAATGAAGATCTGAATAAAAAGTAATTTAACACTTGTTGGTTCCCAGTTGGCACCAAGTTGGTTCAGAAAGAATTACAGCTTTATACCAAATTTATGTCGTCTTCCTTTTATGTACTTGCGAAATTTTAACTTACCACGCCATAGTACCATAGATTTATCCAGTGACAACTCCTCGTTTGTACAATAAATATCCTGCATCATATTGCTAAAAAAGTTGATCAGATAAAGTATTTTTCCTAACTGTGTGTCAGTTGCTTGATTCTTCATGTCTTCAAAATTAAACGCTCACCATACCAATAAAAAACGATTTCGGCTCGTAAATCTAAAAAAAGGCATTATAAATAGTTAGTGCTCTTTCCAGTAACCGTTGATCCTATTAAAATAAATTCTACCCATATGAAATAAAAGTCCAAAAATATCTTTGTTTCACCTCTAGTAATGTCCTTCCAATGACTAATTATTGATTGAATACCGCTTCTCGAAAGTAATTTCACTGCATGTGCATTAGCTTTAGCACAGAAAATATTACACAGCTCCTCCATTACCAACAAGTTAAAATAATCAATTCGCTCTGTTCCTCCTACGTTGACAATAATACCTGCAACACTTGTAAATGCGATAGTACATCACGGTAAGATCATTGTGAAGTTGTAGTTACTGGTGTAGTTAAAGCAGAATTGGTAACAACTGGGTTAGCCAGTGAAGAAGCTGTAGTCACAGATGTATTTAACAGTAAATCTGGTTCTATCTCATCCGAATCGCTGACACTGTAAGGATTATATTCGAAATCGTCGTCAGTATGATTTACATATGGATCTATATTCGAATCTTAAAATAGTTCAAGAAGTTTATCATGTGTTAACTTTCTATTATTATGATATTCTTCGGGGGTTTACTTTCCTTTGAAGGCCCAGGTGTTTAATTGATGACAATATGTAACAGAACAAAAAGATATATTATTGTTTGACTATATGATGACTCTGCACTGTTACTAAATTACTACTGGATAGCCAAACTATTATTTGTTTAAATCAAGCGATGTCTTTTCTTTCAATACAACAATAAATCTAAACGACGTTGAAACGTACCTCTGCTAGCACCTAGTGGGGGCACCTGACGACAGTAACAATTTAATTAGTGGAAATAGTTCAAATAGAATATCTCTCGCCACCAGAGTTATTTTAAAGTAAACGTTTGAACTGAAATTATGATTAATTATTCAGTAGGGATAGTATTTATTCCCAATCATTTAAATCGAGAAAATTATTTAATATTGTTACAAAACTGTCTCAACTAGGGATGCACTCCGCTATGAGCAAACCTAAAGAGGTCGAAATACGTATAAGCGGGTTGTCGCTGCTCTGTATCGAAACCAAAATCTAGTACCGTCATTATGTTTTATTTCTTTACTTCGTTTGGAGTACCAGAAATTGAATTCACTACGA